CTGACAGTGTGTGCAGTACATAGCACACACCACAAAGGAGCAGCACAGACAGTTTTTATTTTAATTTGGTTCTGAATTTATAATGTTAAATATACTTTTTAACTCAGTAGTAGTAATGTATTGTAATGAAAAATGATCGTAAGTTCATTGCCATATTTACAAAAGACTGCAACATGATCTTATCCTGATCCAGTCCAGCTCAATTCAAATATTTAAAATCAATTTTTCCAAGTCTTTTACCTTGATATTTCCTAATAAAATGTATATATGTATTTCTTGTTTCCTCCATGTATGTTTCATGCCTTGACCACCTCATCCATGATTTTAATTTTGCACTTAGCAAAGTTCCTCACTATGTAATTTTGTCCATTATCCTGTTACTTCCTATCTGAAATTTAAAAGACTGTCACCATGAAATAGATGATAAAAAAGATGTGTTTTTCCATTAACATCTTAAACAAGATTTTTAAACTTCATATTTTGCTCATATAGTTTCCTGCTCTCTTCAGATCGGCATGCAACTCTTCTGTCGATATCCACAAGCCCTGAGTCTGTCTTGTTTGGGGTTGCGAGTACAGTGGACGAAGCTTACAACTTAGCAGCATCCAGTGCACTGGAGCATCTGAAGCTCATGACTGCGTAAGGTATTGTGAAGAGTGAGCCACTGTTACAGTGTTTATACATCAATAAATATACTGCTTGCAAATATGTATAAATATTAAAGACTTTCAAATGTAAATTTAATGAGGTATAGGGAAGTCTTCCTAGTCCTATAATCATTTGATTTTTTTTTTGATTTTTTTTGTGGGCTCAATTATTTGTCTGAAGGTTTTTGAAGATGTGTTATTAAACTGATGTATATTTGTGGACATTTTACTTAGTTTGTTAGTCAAAAAAACCAATGTTTTGGAAGCTGGCTGTGCTTGTATCATCAGGTAGAACTGTACAGCCTAGTCTATTGGGTTCGTTGGTCCTTGGCTGGGGACAGATTATCTTTATCCAGTGGAATGAACATACTAGGTTATATAGTTCCTCCTGGTGATGGAAGCAGAGTGTTTCTGAAACGTGTGCTTGAAACTAATATGAGCAGATGAAGGAAAGTGTCCAAGAATATGCTGGATCATTTTCTTTGAATAAAACATTGTTGCGTTTGTGAAGATTATTGAGTTGTTGATTTATTTCACAAGATGTGCTCATTTATCTAAAGTCTTTCATGTTCTTTCACAAATGTCATTTGGACGTATTTTGTAGTTATGTACTTCCTGGGCTTTGCATTGGCCACAAAAATATTGAATTCCCTGTGAAATTACGTGTTCATTTACAGCTGGCAAGAATATTATGAGATATTTCTGGCATTGTAGTATAAATTCATATCAATAGCCATTTAAAGATGATTTGTTATGTAAGAACCATAACAGTTTTTTGTCTTAAGTCTTTCATTTAAAATGTTGTATCAGTCCATTTGCTCATTATAACCAGTTTGCTTTTGTTGAAATATCTTCACAGTAAAAGCTGAAGAACAAATTTGCATATAGACTTACAAGTGCTTGGAATAACTGTCATAAATTTCTTTTTGTAATGGATCACATATTTTATTTAACCAAATATAAGACACTCCCCTGTCTTTGAACTTACATTTGTGGAAAAAACTATCTACACACACACACTTTATGGCCACAAAATGCTGTTATTGTAAAATAAGCACATTAGAGCTGTTTCAACTCCTTCCTTCATGATGGCTTTCATTAAACTGAAGCAGCATGTAGGTTCAATGTTATTGGTTTATGTAACAAAGTACATGACCATTAATTTAAAATTTGAGTTGTGAGCAGTGTACTGATTCAGAAACTGGTCATTCCATAGGCTCACTTCTCCACATGACCACACATAATTACATGTTATTACCATGGTACAAATTCATTTAAAGGTGTCTTCTGTTTGTAATGTTTCCTAAAAATTAATCTACATAATAGGATACTGTATATGAGTATGCTATATGTATGACTGGCCAAGTTCTAAAAGTGCTAATGTACCAAAAATGATAAAATATAGGAAGGAAGTGGGTAAAGGATATAAAAGAAATTATTCCGTGGTAAAAAAGAAAATTCATACAGATGTTGGGATAAAAACTCAAACTAGATACTTCTAAAGTACAAGTTTGATATGTTGTTGCGTGCTTGAGAGAAGAGCTCTAGCTTGTTAGCTTCAGTCTGGTTCCTACCTACTAGTGGTAGAAAGGGAAACATAAAGACTAGATGGAAATGTGAGATTATGTCCAATGTTTATTCTGTCTGTGCACATCATGCAAGTATTCTTCCTTCATGTCTTATATATGACACTGCATGTTTCAGGCTGATTAGCATATCTTCAGGTGTTCCCTTTTCATTCCACACACGGTTTCAAGAGTGTGAAATGTGTAAAGACGTAACTAATAAGCATTTTAACTCCAATTCACATGACACTCCTGTACAATCTTATGAGATGAGTAACATTGCATAGACACATTATGCTTTGTATAATATGGTACTTTAATGCAATGTAATTTCTGAAATGAGTCAAAGTTTTCTTTTGTGGGGGTAGTGTAACAATTCCTGTGTGAACAAAGTCAGGAAAAACAAATTACACTGCAAAGGATCTGCAAACACCATTTACCAACTCCTTTTGTTGCTCACCAAGAACTATAATAGATATTACAATGAAAATCAACATAGTAACAGAATATAATGTTTCATGTGGCTTTTTTTAAGCATAGTTTACAAGGTCTCAAATGGTACAGCTACATTTTGGCAACTATAGACATTAAAATAAATATGGGAACAAATACAAAATACATCACCAATCACAATACAAGAAATACCAAGTGATGTCAGTGATGAAAATTTTTAGTGTTTAGGAATATTTGTAACATGTAAAGGTAAAGAAAGGTCCCCTGTGGCAGAGGACTGTGCATGTAGAAGACATGGAGGTAATACTCCATATATTGTCTCACCTCTGCACTCCAGGTAAAAATTTCTTATGTTCCTGGGGGATAGTACTTTGTAGCCATTGGTTGTGAAGCTGGTTGGGCCCAAAGAACATTGGATATAGTATAAATGTTCACTGGAAAGCAATTGACTTGCTTTATTCTTTTCACTCAAGGTTTAAAACACAAGACAAAACATGCAGAACTTCATGGGCACTTTCTCTCCACTTGTCCCTTGCCACCTTCCTCATATTCCTGGCTTGAGATCCACATCTGTTGGAAAGTCCCAATAGAGGCCAAAATTGAGCCTCCAATCCATGCACCAAACCGGCGTTCAGCACAACCATTAGCACTAATCAACTTGAGACGCATGCTGGATGGAATTCGCATGGACAGATCACGGTTCAAACGCTCTGGGAATCCCTGTGTAACAGTATTGCCAATGTCAAGCCATTCTGTATTATGACATTTCAAATCTAATGATACAGTATGGAAAGTTGGTCTAAAATTAAATGCAGTGATAATTAATACTCTACATGTTCATGTCTTGTTACCAAACTGCAAGACAAAATCATAATATAAATTTAGTTAAGAAATTATTTAAAAATGTAGCAAAATTTAAATATTAGGAAGAAATCAAAATATCATTTATCAGGAAATTAAGAACAGAATAAATCTAGGGAATACTTATCATTCCATTCAGAATCTTGTCTTCCAAGCTGTTATCTAAAAATGTAAACATTAAAATACAGAAAACTAGTTTTACCTGTTAAGGAGGTTCAATTTCATGTGATACAAAGATTTGCAAAATGATATGACAGTGATGTGTATTCCAAGACTACCTCACCTGTAAGAAGGAATTGCCACCTGTCACCACAACACTGCCGTAGAGGGCAGGCCGCACATCCACATCACACATTCCCACGCTGGTTGTCACTATGTGACCTACTCCAAGCATGGTATTGCCTACTAGTCCACCTCGCATCTGAACCACACTGGGGTCAAAGAGCGCCTCAGGAATACGAAAACGCTCGCTGCCAAAATCCTTTACAGACACCCAGAAATATAATTCTGTCACTGACCTATACAGATAACTGCACACGCTACCAGCTTTACTTCACAGAAAGTTAGTGAGAACATCATGCCTTGATCATAATATAGGCATAAATGTTTTGTGTATAAGAAGTCAATGGACTGTGACAATTAAAATACTGTTTTTCAGTCCTCTGAATGGAATGTTGTAAAGAGATTGACTATAGTCTTACAATTTTACACAAAATGTATACCCTTTGTTAGTGTAAACATTTAATTTGTATGCAAGATTTGTGGTTCTGATTGCAACATGTATCAAGATGGATGTATACTTTCTCATAATCCAACATCAATGTGTAATTTGTACACTTACATATGTATACATGAAATGTAATTTGCAGTGCACTGGAACTAAATAAGAGTCAATACACTATACACATGAGTGCTGTTTCATTCTTACCTGGTGGTAGCCACTGGGAAACTCATAATGAACAGTGGGTATAGAAGAGACAGTCTTCTCATCATATGGGGTCTCTGACACCTGCAGCACACTAGCTTGGAAATCCTGCACGATTTTCTTGGTCATATAGTTGTGCCATGATGTTGTAACTTCTGGCAAATTACGTTTTTTGACCCAACGGGCCTTCTCTCGTTCCTTAACCACCTCCTTACTTCCAATAAGATATGATGGCACTATCTCAACATCATTCTCCTGAAACAGGACACAAAAGATATACAAAATCTGAGGCATTTAACATGTCTAGATGGATAGCTCAGCTGCAAACAGGTTAACTTTGCAAAAGGCAACAACAAAATTAATCTGATTTTGCATGTTTATATACATATATATATATGTGCATGCCTGTATGACAATCTATGTTCTCTCTTTGAAGTTCACCCTGACACAGGTACCACAAATATTGATTGATGTCAGGTAGCAGACATGACATACTACCAACAAACGTTTGTTTTAATGGATATAATATCCACATCCTGAATTAATGTCAATACTGCATGTTACAGTTTTTACACTGTCACAAGTTTAGCCACCCTAACCTAACCTAACAAAGTTAAGGAAAACAAAACCAAATGCATCTCTGAGGCAGGACTTAAAACTGCTCTCAAATGCAGTGTACGGAAGCCACTGTTGTAATTTGTAAATTACCTGTAAAAAGTTTTTGCACTGCATGCTAATGTAGTCCCCACCAAGAGGTGACTTTACAATAGCTTGTGTCAAAACAAATCCATCTTGAACAGGAACTGCAGATGTGTGTGTAGCACCACTGTCCACAACAATACCAGTAGCACGACCGTTTGCAAAGGCAGCAAGGACAGCATTCTTAACAAGGAAAAATGCAGGGACATTATACTTTTCAAACATTAGTTCTGTGAGCCTTTCTCGTTTATTTCGTACATTCCATGGAGCTTCCGACATAAGGACAGGATGAAACTCTGACTCAGACTGAATGCATTTGGCATATGTGTAGTCCAGCACTTTTTCAAACAAATCCCAGTCTTCAATCATACCATCCTTCATGTAATTAGAAACTTCCATTCCTTTTCGAGCTACATGTAGGAAGTTTGTATCAATGTGATATTTAGTATCTGATGTAGACGATGTTACATTGGTGGGATCAGATTTCTTTTCATCAATATCCATTCCATCCGTCTTCAATACTACTCCTGAATTAGCATCTTCAACAACACCTACCACAGCCGGGATCTCCGCCTTCGGTGTATCTTCTTGAGCATAACCTACCCTCAATGAATAATGTCCGATATCGAAGACAAGGGCACCGATCTCATCACCCCCATAAAGCATACCAGCACTCATACTGAGAACTTACAAGCATACAAATACATACAAACGTTGTGTAAAGTTTGTTACTATTTACGCGCACCCAAACACCAGCTTTCGGCTTGTACAGAAAGCTGCTCGAGAAGTTACACAGCTAAAGCCCTGTGACGTCACGAGCAGTCGCCTGTGTATCGGACGGATTCGGAAGAGTTCGGGACCTACGGGAGAAGATCATAGAATTTATAACTCATGTAGGGTAAAATGATAGCATACGTGGAGACATCTTGGTACGATTTACAAGAGCTACTATTACAATAACTTTTAGTCAGCATCATAATCAGTGCTGTAGAACTCATTTTGATTCTTGGCTTCTGTTGTTTTCTTTTAGTAATCTATTATTATTCACAAGAGATGTTGCAAGAAGTCGTCAGCGGTTGACAAGCCACGTAATCTACAGAAACAATCACAAAGCAGTTAGAACATTTGCTTTCATTACGGTGATGTGGATGTATGTGTGGCACTGCTCGTGTCAGTTGAGCGTTGATATAGGTTACGTACCAGCTGAATGTAATCTGTATAATATTTGTTAGAAAGTAAATAGTTATTCGTTGAATAACTGAGTTTCTTGATTAATATGATATAGTGTAACCAATTGCTCAAGACTGATTATTTTTGCAGTGACAGACACATGTATGGGATATAACTGAGCAGGATGGTAATGTATATTATTTGAACGTTTCGAGATAAAATCACATGTATTATGTTTACTGAAGGATTCTGTAGAGTTATGGTATTAATTTCATGTTAACTGTTAATAAGTATTGTCATATTCTAGTATGGAGCATAACCTTCATGTGGTACAGAAAGAACAAAGTTAATTATAATCGGTAACCAAATGTTTCCAAGTACCATACGCTTTTTTATAAATAGTTTTTATATTAAGGTTCTTACAGGATGGTTATTATGTTCAATATATATTTTGTGTTAGCTTCAAGGCAACATTTTCAGTTGTTGGCCCTTGTCTGAAGTGAAATTGTTCTGGGGTCAGTATGTTATTGGTATGCATATAATGGTATTGAAGTCCTTACCAAATTCAGACTACTTTATGGTTCATTACATTTAAGTACGGGAATTTTGTATTGATGTAGATTCAGTATTTGTTATAATTGTGTTATTTTTAAAGAACTGATGTTGCTATTATACCTTCAAATGATGGATAATAGTGATGTGAAAATTATGTACATACTCATTTTTACCCTAAAGATGGACCAATTTCATCTGAGACATGGATTACAATATCAGGGTTTCAAAATTGTTTATGGTGTATGTGTATGTAGTCTTGTTTGGGGTGAGGGGGAATTTTGAAGGTTGTATAATAGTTAATCTTTTCACCGACTGGGCTATTGTTATGTTTACTTGTAAATTGCTCATAGGGTGCAGCACATTACGGCGCTACATTGACCGCTTACTAGCATTGATTTTACGTATCTCGGTTAACCTGCGGTGTTAACTGTTGTTGCACTGCACGTGCATGATCGCCGAAATATTGCTTGTAAGTGATATAAACGAAGTGGTCGGGACTTCGAATAATTATCACAAGCTCGCAGTTATGGCCTCTATGAAGTCGTCAATATTATTACGAAAAACGATGTCATTACAATTTTTTATTTATTAAACTGGTAGATAGACAGGAAATTGATGAAGCGTGTGTATCTCTCAAATCTAGAATAAAAAAATAGTTATATATTCTATTGTTTGATAATTGTGATGAATATTGCCTCAGCTTGTGTAATGTTAGCAGCAGAGCAACAAGCGTTTATACTGGTAAGGTCCAAAATTTGTAATTATTAGTAGAAGTGCTATTACAAATGCATTGATATAAGGATTGATGAAGAGAAGAGAGACGAACAGAAGGTAAATGTCTGACTAATTAAGGCTGAAATGTGGGTTTGGAGGCAGCTGCTGTGTTATCGTCTAGCAGCTTATCAACCTTTGGCATATTACATGTTATGGAAATAATTTGTCAGATTTCTCTTATGATCTTTGGGTCATAGATGTAAGAAAGGAAGAAATTGTGGCGATCGAATAGTAGTCGACCTTCTTATCAACTGGTTTGCTGCTTCTACCACCCTTGTTGCTGTTGTATTCACATGTGCATAATTCTTAGAATATGGAAGTGTGTAGTACAAAAATTCAAGCCTGCAAACATTGATACTTCCTTTGCATCCGTACAAATTTGACAGCTGCAATTTACCTATGGATAAGTTCAAGCTGGATCAAATATGTAGTTGACAGTTTAAATTTTTTTGTGTGTGTTTGTTTATAACTTCACAACTGCCCTGTCCTGCAGGTATTGCAAGTTTGTTTAGACTGTTAATTTTTTTCTACTGACACCACTCGATTATCATACAAGTTAAGTAAAATGCACAAATAAATTTATTCGAGAATGAATGGTTGAATAATTTTATATTAATGAATATCATACAAAGGGTTGAATATTTAATTTCACTTTTTTTAAAATTTGGTACACGTAAACACAAGGGGGGGGGGGATGCTGTTCTACTTCTCAGGGCAGAACGTCGTGCTCCTCAGAGACGCCATCTCGAAGACTGGAGTCCTCGACAATGCCATCCCAGTCGTTGCAGAGGTTGCTGCTGCAGAGTCTGATGTACACCTTGAATCCGTCCGATTCGAACACTTCGTTTTCACCGCCGCTTGAACAGCCGCGAAAGAAAGAGAACAGTGTGCCTGAAATGGGAAGTTCGAGTTGCAATTGAGGTAATATATAAAGGTGTGTGATAAAGTGAAGATTTCCTGCGCGCCGGTGAGGCGCTTCGTGGTAGAGAGGAGAGAGCGTTCCTCGGTACCGCATGGGGGTGATTAGTCAGCGTCACGCCCCTGTATCGCTTTACCTCCGGGGAAAGGACCTCCGGTACCCATTGCACAAGAGGCTGGGTGGGCCCCAGAGCCGGTCTGGACGTGGAACAATTTTACATCAGCGTGTGAACTTACCATTTTTGTCAGCGAGCTCGTGCCGTATGATGGAACAGTAATTATACGGACAATTAACGGTGAGGGCTTCTGTCGGGTTTGTCAAGCACCATCTGTCCAGGTCGTCTTTAGCCATCAGACAGGAATAGCACTTCAAGTCTGGAATGATATCGGGAGCTGCAGTAGATTGTGTGTATGCAGTGTTTTTATTCATTTGTTAAAATATTTGTCTACAGTAAAACATCCATTATAAACACGTATATTCTAGTGATCTGTTACGGTATTTTATAATTAATAAGTTAATGAATTTGAACGTGGCGTTTTCTCACTAGTATTTTTCTGGTTGTCTTGGACATTCTAGAAAAATTCCATGCGCAACATTGAAATAGGTTGCGTTGTCTTCCTTCTCCTTTAGAATTCATCCAGTCTAAGACCACACTTTTCGTGCTTTCTTCTCAACACTTTTGTAAAGTAGGTTAAAAGAACAATCTTACCGCAATACGTCACAGGAAGCCCCATGCACACAGCCACCAAGATCGCTCTTACCGTCTTCCACATTCTGTTGATCTGACAAAGAGATCTTACACTATTTCATAAGATAAAATAATTGGACTGTCGATGCCACAAGAAATGACGTGACATGTACTTAAGATTACATTGACACGAACTACCTTGGATTCTAAATATGTTCCTTCACTCTTCTTCACTCCTTATTCTTCTCTGTAGTAAGTACTCACGGTTAGTCAGCTGATCGACCGTTGTTCGATTCCTGGCATCGCCGCCATGTGCACTACGCGTGAGTGAAACCACCCTCCACGACAAACGCAACTCTTTTCAGTTAATTAATGTTAAAGGTAAACGCAATGATTCCCAGACCAAATTAGGTTTGCGACAGTTTTATTCATCTCCAGTTTGACAGTATTGTGTAATTGCTATTTAAAATGTTGATGTGGACGGAAGTTCCATATAATATTATCTTTAGACTTCTGTCCTTTTATGAGATACAGCGAAGAATTCTTAGGGTAATCTTCACTGCACATCTCTCTTCCTGTGTTGAAAGTTCCAGTACATGCCAGTCCTTCAGATTTGTCAAGTGATATTTATTTGCATATCAATGTATCTTTGTTACGAGTACATTTTCGAAATGCGTCTTATCAGTTGGAAAGAGTTTTATCTGCTTTTGTTATACAGGAAAAAGGAGATTGATAACAGACATAAGTTATTTGATGTCGTCATTTTGTTCAAAGAGGATTAGAACAGGGCGTGTTCAGCTGATGTATAACATGCTGGATAAGGCTGGTCATGTGGCTTCATTGTTCTGTGACCCGTTTAACGACTTTCTGAAATGCATAGATTCTACAGTGTGTTCTTTTTCTAAGCGCACAGAATCGGTTGAATCCGGCGCTCCTCCGGTTAAGTCGGGCCAACCCGTAATGCGTGAGTTTGTTTCACGGCTGCACTGAAAAGAAAAAAAACACTGTGTAATGCCAAATGATGGTATGACTGCGAACCGAAAATAATGTAGAAGACAGCGATCGTGGTATATTTGATGTATTATCCCGGCATTTGACAAGTCCCAGAAGAATGCCAGTGAGGATAGGCCGAGATTCGAACTTGATATCAACAAAGCCGATCCCACTGCATAGTCACAAATAACTTGTCTTTAATGTTGTTGTTCTGGGTTTTGGTTCTTTGTAGACTCGTAAGTAGATACCAGCGTTTCGGAGAAACATACTTTCATCGTCTTCAGGGCCTTAGTCTACACGGAGCCAAAATCCAGAAGCATAATATCGTGCTCATTGCCGTCAAAACCTCAAATCTCATTTATTGTCTTTAACTTACTAATTACTTGTAACTAGCTGATTCTTGTAGGTTATGTCGTGTCGATAAGTGTTTCAAATAGAAGTTGTAGATCTCGTTCAGACGAGAATTATGACGTTTGATGCACAGTAGTGCGTGTATTTAACAGTTCTGTGCCGAATTTAAATTCGTGTGACAAATGAACTGAAGTTCGTCAGAAATCTGTCGAGTAGTTTTAGAGACGAAACATGAAGATGGACATGCCGATCTTCGCATTACGCTTGCATTTTAAGACAGGTGTTCTCACAATGGTTTAATAATCTGATTCGTATTTAGAAAGTTCCAGGTTCAATTCTGTGCTGTCTTTCTTATCTTTAGTGTAAGTGCTGGAGAAAAAGAAAGTATAAATAACTGCCAACGACAGTCAGATTCGTAACTGCTACGATTTATTTGTCGTTCCGATTTTCGTAATGCACGCAGTCTTCTCTTCCCTGAATTAAATTAAATGTGTAGCGTTGGTTACCTTGGCGACGTCATCCTTAGTGATTTATTACAGAGAGTGGACCTAACGATTGAAGTTACTACATGCCCAAAGAACTGCATATTTGTTTTACTTTATAAATTTGTTTGAACTTAAGACATATTTTGTTTCCAAAGGCATTTGTGTTAATTTAGTGGTTTTGATTATATCGCATTGCGCTGATAAGTCAGATGCCTTATCTTAGATTATTAGTGAGCCGGTATAATAATCTTTTGCATCCGAATGCACTGACAGTTCATTGAAAATGTTGAAAGTGATAATACAGTTGCTTGTGGTCTTCTGCTTTCGGTTTCGTGTTACACATGGTGGTATGTTTCGTATTTACTCTACTGTCTAAATTTCCTGATTTCCACAAGAAAGGGAATTTGTAATTATGTGCCAAGTATTACAAACGTGTAAGGTTGGAGGCTTTTATAATTGTGTGATTGAGACGTGAAGCTGTCTTTCAAGATCTGTTGTGTTTTCGAATTTAGCGGAGATTTCAGAAATGGGATTTTAATTTGGGAAATCGAGATGAGTGGCTTTCTATCCGAAATATTATTCTTTCGCATCAAGTTCGGTTTGTTTTGTCTGGGCAGATCGTCACAGGAGTTTGCTGCCAAATTGTAACTACCTGTTGACATGTTAACTTGTCAGTTGCAAGTTGCTGTTTGCACCACGTTGTAGTTATAATAAGGCAGTATCTTGTCTCTCGCATTTGTAATTTGTAACACGCACACAGGTTTATTATTGGTTGTTTATTCAGTGTTTGTTTTGTAGGTACATGTGTACTTTCGTTTGCGAAGAGAAATGTTGTGGTGTGTCTGTGACAAATTTGGGGGTGACGCGGTTGAAGAGAGTGCAGAACCCTGCTCTAGATACCATCTTTTGGAAGTATAACCATTGTGTATGTGGTGTCTAGGAAATGCAGATTAAATTGAAGATACAGAAAATTTTCGAAGTTCTGAATTCGGTTTATTGTTTAATGTGTTGACAGTCGCCTATAATCGGTGCACTTGGGTTGAGTATAAACTCAGTAACCGGTTGATCAAAACGTTAAGGAAATTAACTATATTAACTTCGTTAATTTAAACTGCTTAAAAATAACCAAATAAACAAGTAAAACACTGTTTAGGGAATTGTTTCCGTTACAGCCTTTCAGTGTTACTCTTGTATAATGGACGGAGCTGCGACAGATCGGTCGTGTATGAAGAATCAGGGAGGTGTGGCCACTAGCTCCCCTGTTGTCAATTGTCAGCAGAAGTATTGCACCATCATACGACAGGAATACCAGGACCCTGCGGGTAAGTGGTTCAAGCAGACCATCGTACCAAGCATTAGGCCTGCGTTAGAAACAATACTTCAGGGCCGAACCCGGGAGGCGTGCGATGGGCGGGTTATGTAGCACGCATGGGGAGATGAGAAATGCATACATCATTTTGTCTTGGAAGCCTTCAAGGAAGACACACTTGGAAGATCTTGGCGTGCATGAGAGGATAATACTGAAATGTATTTTAGGGAAATAGGGATGAATGTTGCGAATTTTATTGATCTGGCTGAATAAAAGGGCCGGTGGCTAACTGTTGTGAACACGATAATGAACCTTGGGGTCCTATGAAATGCACAGATTTTATTATTACCTGAATTTTGACTCCTTGAGTGTACTTCTAGTTTCTGAAGAACCTTACTCTGGAGTTAGTTTCGCGACCTTACAATGAATGATTATAGGCCTAGTGTTTGATCCGCCTCGAAAGATAGCGCGGTCACCATGTTTATAACGTTAAAGAAAATGGTATCATACTGGCGTGGTCATCAGTGACATGATGTTTGTTCTTATGTACATAAAAGTTGGCACATCGTTCCAACACGGACGGACGAGTTGTCACGAATTAGGTAACAATATTAGTCTTTCGTGTGTAACTGTAAAAATAAAATTAGGTTTAAAACATTACTTATATGAGGTCCACTGTCTCTGTGTGATTGTTACATTTAACATTTTTCGTCGCTTATTTCGGCATCATTAGGTGTTTTAAATTAGCATACATGATGATGAAATTAGTGGAGCCGATCACTGTGCATAAAATTTATCATGTGCGGGCTAAGAATAGTTACTGAATACGCCTATGAAATTATTTTCATATATAAATAGTGTATTCAGCTACGTCGATTCTTCTAGACGACGTTTCTGCAGTGATATAGCGTAAATTTAATGAACATGTTGGATTATAAATATATGTAAACGGAAAAGTTAAGAGATTTACGCATAGCTCGAAATATTGCAGTTTATTGGTTACTTTGTTGGCATTAACCTGTACTGATGAAGTAGTGAATACATTTGTTTCATAGCATAAATCAAAAATAATCTTATAATTTCCCATCTGATTTGTGACGCAATAGGAAATAATAGCCTTTAATGTTTGTAGAATTGTTTTAAGCTGGTATGAGTTTGACGATATTCTCTTGGGTTGTTTCTACGAAACGCTGGTATCTGCCTACAAGTCTGCGTGGCGTCACAACCTATAACAACGACATCGTCATCTTTACCGTCGTGAGGACCTCAAATGTCATTCACTGGACAGACTGTTTTTCTATAAATGCAGTGGAATCCAATGTGTAATATAATGACTAAATATTTCCGCTTGTGAACATTTTCAGGACAGATCTACACGTTTTACCGTGGATGCACTTCTTACAGCTTTAACGGGGTGACGGATGCAGGTGGCTTCAAGGTGTACACTAGGGTTTGCACGACCCACCTCTGCAACAACTGGGATGGTATTTCATCCGGTCCACTAGGAGAGGCTGGTGACGGCGGTGGTGGTGGTGGTTCCGGGGGTAACGGTGATGCTGGAGGGGGAGGGGGAGGTGGTCCCGGAATGGGTGATCCTGGATATGACGGTATTATACGTGTTAATGGTACAGGGACCCAGCTGCTGGGAGGCCTGTATTCCACCCTCACTGGTGTCGTTATACTGATGGCATTTAATTAGCGTTTATCCCGCCAACTCTTATGAGTGTTTTGAATTGAGCGTGTAAATTTAACATAAATGGAATAGTCTTTACTGTTCGATTAATTTCGCAAACTACTTAACAGATTTAAAGAAAGAAGGTACTTGGATTAGTTTGTCTTTTTATTGCTATTTGATTGTATTTATTATTTTTGTTTTGTTGTTATCTGTAATTTACCATTAGTCTTTTGATGCAGCACACTAAAATAAATGCTTTAATTGATTATTAATTATGTACGTAAAACGAAGGTAAGACTTAGCCTACGTTGATATGAAGAGAAGAATAAATTTCAGAAGAACAGACTGCTCTCCAAAATATGGGAAGTATTAATTATTATTAAAACATTTTCCCTGTATTTTTATAGCTGTATTTTCATGGCATCTTCCTTGGAATTATCTTGAAAGGAAGTGATAGGACAGCAGTCAAGTTATTTTTTAAACTGATGTATGTTCTTGAAACATTTCCTACTCTATTAAAGTAAGAGTAAGTAAAATTCTCTATTAAATTTAAAATTTATATTTCTGTCGCTGGTTCTGCTTCTGGCATCAGGTAAAACTGTACAACATAATCAGTTGGGTCCACTAGAAAAATATATCTGGGGACTGATACTAGCTTCGTCCTATGGACCCAACTGATTACGTCGTGTGGTTTCACCGGATGTCGGAAGCACAAACGTGGCGAGTTTGTAAGGTAAAGGTGGCGACTGACTTGTAACATTTGCCTGTAATGTAACGTGTTACAAATCGAGCATTACACTAGTGAAGACAGCGAACGGAGCCGCTCGATGCGAGCTGCTCACGCTCGCGGGCGCTCCATCGTGTTGTCGGTTTTTTCGCGAATCCCTTTGAGTGTTACATTACAAGTCAGTCAGTCAGTCGAGCGGCGTCGTAACGAGCATTCACGAGTTCTTTAGATAAGAGTAGCGTATTAAATGAAACAAAGATAACACAACCAAAATGTTACATTACGAGTAAATGTTACAAGTCAGTCGCCACCTTAATAGATGACAGAGAATGCTCAATAATATGGATCAATTTATGACACCTATGTCAGAAACACTTAAACGAAGTTACTTTTTATGGTGCTAGATGATTTGTGCTTATCTCCTGATACATACTGCTAACTTGGCCTCTGTCTATTGTGCAATGCGTTCACTGATAAAGTGGAATGAAACTACCACATGCACATCGTTTACAGCATCTCTTATAATATAGGTAAGTTTATTTTATTGTTCTCACCGAGCAATCTGTTCTTACCGACCTTATGATGGAGGCAGCAAGTGCCTCATAAACGTCGATACTCTTCCAGACTCTGGTGTAACAATCCAGCAGACTGCCCTCTTTACATTTGTCGCCATGAGAATCTGGAGTCTCACATACTGTCTCCATCTTCAGGGCTGAAGTGGTGATGCTGGGAAGTGGGGGGGGGATTAATATAGTTAGAGTAAGGGGAAACATTGGCATCTACCTACGAGTATGTAAGGCACCAAAGCCTAGAACAACATTGTCAATTGATTTGTTGGTAACAGTTCCAAGAATAGGACTGATATTTTATTTGTATCTTGACATGAGTTTGTAATGTAATTTATATCAGCCCGAGTGTGTCTGATAGCGGTGAACGGGTGATAAAGAAATTGGCGGAAAAATAGATAACACGACCATTGCCTTGGTATTGATGGTACTGACATATCACGAAGCACAGTGAGTTCTACAACATGGATGTTTTGGAAATAAGTAATAAGAGATCAATTAACAAAGCATAAATATTCAGAACATACGAATTATAATATTTTTTTCAACTTTCTTACAGGACCTGCTAGAAGTCGTACATTTGTGCACAATAGTATATTTTGTGTGTATACCATAATGCATATTACATTATATTACTGAAGACATTATCTTCAAGTTAAAATACGATGGGTTTATTCTTGGTTTATTTAGCGATTCGTTTTCATCTGCATACGTATTTTGTGTCTGATTGTAATGTATAAATTCGAAAGGATATAATAAGTTTGAGGAAATATCCATCCATTTACCTCGGTGGACTAGGCAAAATATGAAAATCTCACTGGCGACGATTCCAACCCTGGAACCCCAGAACACGGAGCGGCAGTGTTAACCGCTGGACCGCGACATTCAATTCAAAATAATTACAGGTTATTTGGAAAGGAGGATTAGATAAAGGGATCAGACACGCTTAAATTACGGACACAATGACAGCTTGCAGGCTCGTATTGCAATAACACGTTGATTATGTTTTGAAAGAAGACTGTAGTATTCTCTGTTCAAGAAGTGTATGGAACGGAAGTCAGCGCAGACGAGAAACAAGGACAGGCGAGTGTCATGCTTAGTTCACAATGACAACTTCACTTTGATTTGAGTTCATAGGAACTCAATCGGATTGCGGTCAGTGGTAAAGCCGGGGGAGGGGGGTAAATAATGGCTTTAACCTTCGACCAACAGGATGCTAAAACGATATCAGTCCCCAGACATTGTTTATATCTGCTCCGTACACATCCTGAATGTACTATAGTCAGTTCAGACGTGCTAGAAACAGTGGTGGTAACAGCCGAACGTAACGTGAATATCAGCAGTCTTGTAGCAAAAGAATTGGTTGTAAAAAACAGAAAACTTAAGGGGCAGTCTTCTTTGTATCACGGCTTTTATTATTCGGACAAGGCAGTACGCACGGGTCAAAATATCAGGTACGTTGGATGTATAGAGTTACGTCATCGGTGATCTCATGAGACCTGACTCCGATGATGTTCAACTTAACCGACCCACCCACCCAAGATTGAGTTCGCTTGTCTATCATATTCGCTACGAAAGCTCATTACAATAGTATGCGACAGTCTCCTAAGCACCAATTCATCATCATCATCCTATCATCTGCCATCCACACAAAAGAGTTCGCTGTTGAACTGTTTTCGGTGTTGATGATCCTCATCATTTATGCTGTAGTGTACAGAACATCACCGTCTCTTGTCTACCAATTTATCATCGTCAAACTATCATCTGGCAACCACAAATGACATTTACGGAAAAGTATCAGTGCAGAACAATTGTTGTTACACATTTTTATTAGTTTAAAATAAGCGAATTTTATGGAGCTGATCTCAGGACATTAAAAAATTAACAGTTATTCTTATGAGGGATGTGCTGGTAGTCTTTTTTGTTTCTTTCACAAAAGTGACCTGAAACACCATCATATTCTCACGTTGTTTCGTTTCAACACGAAATTATCTCGTACGATACTTGTAAATGTATTTCTGCCTAAACCCCCCCCCCCCCCCCCCCACAACTTACACATATCCAGTTTCAGATTTAACGTGCTTGACCACAAGTTTCAAACCTTGGACAGAAAGTCGAAATTACAACATGAGTGTATTTCGAATATTTGCCTTTTTGTTTTAATGCACTGTACGTCTTGTCTTGTCAGATTCTGTTATATGACCATAAACAAGTACATAATTCAAATACATATTGCTTCCAGAAATTTCTTCGTTTTAGATACATCCATTTATATACATTGTATATAATATATATACAATTTATATATATTATATAATTTATGTACAATTAATACATATGACGTGCTGAGATGTTCCGACTGAAAATTTCTTGGTTAGTATGACACTTGTCTGTGTTCGTAATACCCTAATCGGCTGTGGTTTGTTATTATTTTAGACGCCGAGAGGTTATTTGTCTACAAGGAAGGAGGGAAAGACGTACCTCCATTTGGATGTGGAAGTAAAGGATAGTGATTTCACGTAACGTTCTGCAAAATGAACTGTACAGACGAGGAATGTGCAGACATCCATCTTGTTCTGGACAAAGCGCACGGAAATGCAATTGAGGCAGAACGGTTCTACGCTGAAAGGAAAGTTTCCCATCTTCATTTTCAATACCAGCTTTGAATTAGTGCAGATTTTCCATTGATCTACTTATTTCCTTAACACTTCTCAAGAACGGATTTGCGATACTGCAGTCTTGAAGTACTTGACAGTAATTCAATTTCTTGGGTTTTTATAAATGTACGGCGATGATGGTTACGTTGGAGTCATTGTCGTCGCACAGCTCAGTAGCCTGTTAGCAATCGCAACGAAAAAAATATTTTCCCTTGACTACTTTTGTATGGGAGATGTCTACATCAAGGGTGGGCATGTTTACTTATATGCACGGTCTGTACGATCCAAGAATATTCATCACGTAGCTATTAAAACATAGACTTTTCTGGATCATTGTGTATTCGCACTGTTTATTTGTTATGGTATACAAAATGTTCCCCCAAAATTATGAAAGGAAATATTGAATCGCCCTGTTTGTACGGGTTTCAGAATTCTCTTTTACGCGTCTCGTTTGTTTTAAAACTTATGCCAATTAGTTCGAAAGTTATTAAGGTCTGCACTCATCCGGCTTTCATTCCAACATAAAATTGTTTTCTATTTCCGAAATTAGACTAAATAGGCCTATTTTATATTATCTTACTATATTTTTCTCCTGAAGTATTTTGCCACTATTGTCAATTTCAGAGCTCTTTAAGGACCTCATTAAGAATATCGGGGTCAAATCACGTTCAGGAAATTGATGATCGTGTTTTTTTCTGTAATGTGCCGCAGTGGAATGGTAGTAGAGACCTTGTAATGTGTCTGCCCCGTTGTATTGTTTAATTTGTGTAGGAAGCCTCAGAACCTTATCTAAGACAGTGGCAAAGGAGGAAGAAGAATTATGGAACATTGAAGGAAAAGATGACGAAGTATGAGCTCGATTCTCTAGGGAATTTTACTGTCTTTGCGGTTTTTCTCAGTCGCTCCATCTTTTTTAACAGTTGATAGGACGTTGAACCAACAGTGTTATGTTGCAGAAATTCTGGTAGCATTTGAGGGGTGTGCGGGAGTGGGGACATGCAGGTCATTCACTCGCCCTGTGTTCGTCAGCTGTTCCTCTTCAGTGTCTCGCCGTGCGGACTGCGATCACCACGGCATGTGCTTCTTTAGTGTCGGTGTAGTAGTGTTGACGTAGGGGCCACGGCCACAGTGTTGCGAGCAGGAAGTGACCACTGAAGAAGGCGCTGGTGAGTTGTTATGGTCGACTGCACTTGAATTCTTTGCAATTTTTTGTCCCCTTGTAGGTTTTGTGTTTATATAACTCGATTTTCTTCACAGCTGTATATTCTGAAGGAATTGATTATGTTTTTCTCAGCTACATTAGTTTGCACAGTATGAAAATATCTCAAATAGAAGCTGTAAATCTTATTTAAGCACAAGAATGTATGTTTTATGTTTTGCACCAGTTTTTCTTTGTTGTGCTGTCCGTTCTTGAGACGTTTCTTGATTTAGGTTCTTGCAAAATTGGTAGTGTACAGTGAGGGTATTTGGCGACTTTGCCGGCAACACAATACAACTTGTCTTCCATCTGCGATCACTGCCGCTTTTCCTAAGCCTAGCGGCACAGCGGCAAATTATTATTAATGCGTTTGACCAGTAAGAATAAAAGTAGATATTGTAGCAAATTTAATGCAGACCCTCCACACTGAACATAATTTAAATTCGTCTAGTGACCTTGAAAATAGAACATGCTGACAGGCGTAACTTCTTCAGTACGTATATATGCCCACTGCTTGTAACGAAGGCATAAAAATAGGTTGCAGGTTCCAGTCTGATGTTAATTCTTTCGTTTGGTTGGCTACAGTGGGTTCTGTGGTGGGATTTTTGGTTTGATATCAGAGCATGCCTGTTGTAATTTTAAATAAGTTATTGTTACAGTATGTACAAAATGTGGATGTTCTTGGCTTTGTTATAATCAATACAGTAAATATTAGCTTCTTTCTTGCATATAGTAGGCTACAGAGGAAATATTATTCACAATAATAGACATAAGAAACTGAGATTTTATCAGAAGTGTATTTTACGTTTTACTATTTTCGATTATTATATCTGCACTTGGTTATGAATGGTGTTGCTCCAGATTCGGTTTAAGCACCACATATGAATGCCTACGAGGAGTGGAGATATAGCTCCACTCCCTCATGTCTTCTGCTGTAGGTGGAGGTGAGTGGTTCCAAAGAACTGTTAGTTTATACAAACAAACAAAAGGATTCAGATTTTAAGAACTATCATGGAAATTGCTTGGAGGAATTGAAT